TTTCTTAAAATGGCACCATTTTAAATCCAGTCTGCTGATTGATGATGTTTTAGTTTTCCAGGGGAAATGATTTCATGGTCAATGAACATGCAATATAAATATGTTTTTATAAAGCAGTTGATATCATTAAATTATAATTATTACAAATAAAATTATAAAGGTAAAAAAGGAAATCTTTACTCTGACAATGTCAATTTTTGAGCCAACTTGTTGACAAAAGTTACACTGCTATGGGGAAAAAACACCCTACACGTTGCTTCTATGATAAGTCTAATAGTACTCTGAAAAGTTACTACTTATGGAACAGGAACTATGGTAATTTTTTAGAGTACATTGTGCTCTTGAGGTCAGTGGCCTTGTGTTATTAGAAAGGAAATAGCATCACCTTGTGGACAAATATGAAAGTGGATGAAATTTGTTCAAATAGTATCAGGTTGTATTTAAAATATCTTAGGTCTGTAGTATTTCCTACAAAGGAGGTACTATCATTTTGTCTTAAAAGGACAAAGTAGCACTGAGATAGATATGTAAATGTCTCTGGGGAGATATATCTACATTCCAACCTTTGAATGGGGAAAACACTGAGACAAAAAAATTCGTAGAATATACCAAAGCTCAAACAGAGAAGGAAAAAAAAAAAGTTTTCAAATTTTGCATGTTCTTCCCCACTATGGAATATCCCATTGTCAGTGTATTTGATCTTGGTACCCTGCATCTTGTATATACATTTAGCTAATTTGGAGGGGGGAAAGGAATGTTGAAACAAGACACAGGATGACTCATTGCAACAATGATACTCACAAGACACTATGTTGGAAATGCACTTTACAACTTGGGGGCAGATAAATACATAACACATAAAAGTAGATATCAAGAAATGTACTCATTATCTTGCCCATGTAATGGTAACCCCTCTGTACAGTATTTTCACAATAAAAAATAAATAAATAAAAAGATTTTTTAAAAAGAAAAAAAAGTAGATATCAAGGGGGGGAGCATGGGGGGAAGGGATGGGAAGGGGAAACAAAGGAGGAGGCAACAATGCTTGATAAGAAATTTATTCATTACCTTGCCCATGTAATTGTAACCCCTGTGTATGGTATTTTCACAATCAAAAAATTCTAATTAAAAATAATAAAAATACAAGTATTTTGGAGTCCTCAGTAACTTTTTTGTCAGTTCTTGGGCTTGAACTCTGGGCCTGAGTGCTGTCCCTGAGCTCTTCAGCTCAAAGCAAGCACTCTACCACTTGGAGCAGAGCGCCACCTCCCTCAGTAACTTTTTAATGGTATAAAGTGTTTCTGAAACCAAAAAGCTTCAGAGCTGATACTCTAAAGCACATACCGATATCCAAGTCGCTTCCACCCATACCTACTTATACGGTCTAAAGGACAATACGTGACTACTCACCTAACATCCTCTCATGCCACACCTGTTACAAATTTCAGAGACTATTTCCTATAGCATCCTCCTGGTTAGGGCGTCCTATATGTTGTGGTCATTACTTATTAGTAACTTTATTTCTTCAATAGCTTCATTGAGATAAAAGACATAAAATCTGCATAAGTTAAACCATTTGATTTTTTTACTGGGATTTGAACTCAGGACCTTGTAGTTGCTAGACTGACACTCTACCACTTGAGTAACATTGCCAGCTATACCTTCTGAAATAATCATCACAATCAAGCAAATTAACATGTCATCTCTACATAATTACCATTGTTTATGGGGAGTGTGTGTGTGTGTGTGTATGTGTGTGTGTGTGTGTATGTGTGTGTGTGTAGAAAAGCTTGCATTTTTTATCTGTACCCTTAGCAGATTCCAGGAATACCATACAGTATTGTTATCTATCATCTGGAGCTGCCAAAATTTGCTTATATACTTTAAGATTATGTTATCAGATACATACAAGTTGAGGTTGAGTATGAGGGACAAACCTGTAATCTTAGTTAAAGCAAGAAGCCTAAGTAAAATCTCGGTCCAAAGCTGGTCCCCCCAGGCAAAAGTGAGACCCTGTTTTTTAAAAAGTAGAAGCAAGAGGCTGTGAAGGTGGCTCAGTGGTAGAGCACTTGCCTTGCATGCATGAGGCCCTGGGTTCGATTCCTCAGCACCACATAAGCAAAAAGAAAAAAGCCGGAAGTGGTGCTATGGCTCAAGTGGTAGAGCGCTAGCCTTGAGCTGAAGAGCTGAGGGATAGCACCCAGGCCCAGAGTTCAGGCCCCACGACCGGACCCAAAAGCAAAATAAAATAAAATAAATAAAAAGTAGAAGCAATAAAGGGATAGGTGTATGTTTCAAGTGGTAGAGCATCTGCCTAACAAGTGCAAAGCCCTGAGTTCAAATCCCAGTTCCACAAAAAGAAAAGTCTAGAATTCTTTTGTCTTCACAGTAAAATTATTATTATTATTATTCAGAGAGCAGATTTATTCTAATTTTTTTTAATTTGTAACTAAAATACCTATAGTGCTTACTTGGCCATTTCTGTTCAAGATTGGTGCTCTACCACTTGAGCTACACTTCTACTTCTGGCTTTTGCTGGTTAATTGGAGATAAAATACTCATGGACTTTTCTGCTTCAATCTCCAACCCTCAGCTCTCAGTAGCCTAAGTAGCTAAGATTATAGGCATAAACCACTGGTGCCAGATTGCTTTCCACAATGGAAAAATGTGGACCAAATAACAATATTTGGATGCATTCATTTTTCCTTTTGGTTTGATAGTGGAACTGGGATATTAACTCAGGACCTCAGTTTGCTAGGCCAGTGCTCTGCCACATAAGCCACATCCTCAGGTCTTTTTGCTTTATATTTGGGGCAGAGACTCCTTGCCTTCACAGAGAACCAGCCTTGGTCTACAATCCTCCTACCTATAACCTCCCTCATAGTTGGGTTGACAGGAGTGTAACACCATGCCTGCCTTGTTGAAATGAGGTCTTGCTTTTTGCGGAGGCTGACCTTTAACTGCATTCCTCCCAATCGCCACCTCCTGAAAAGCTGTTTACAAACATGTGCCACTTTGCCTAACCTACCTATATTCATTATCAACCTCTGCCTTTGTCCTGAACTGACTTCAATGCTTTAACAGCATTCATATAGACCATAATAGAAGCAGTAGGGCTTGAACACCCCTCTGTTGTCTGCACTTAACATTTTCCTTCACTAGTGTGAAACCCCATGAGGACAGGCACTGTATGTTTGTGTACATATGGTATTTGTTTATTTAGTGCTGGAGGTCAAACCCAGGGCTTCACATATACTAGGCAAGTGCCAGGTCACTTTCCCATCCTCAATGAATCTCTAAGGATGGGAAAACCTCTACTGAAAATGAGCAGGCGCCTGAGGTGTTCTTAAAGTAAAAACTTGAATTATAATTTAACTGGGGGTGAAAGGATTAAAAGCTGGCAAAAGAAAATAAATCAAGCCCTAGGGTGGTTTCATATCTTTGGCATTGCTAGTGTTCTAGCTAAACAATTCTTTGTAGTGGGGTCTGTCCTGCACATTGATACATATGGAGTAAGCACCTCTACCCAACTCCTATTCCTCCCAGTTGTTTTAAGAAATAATGCATCCCATCATTGGATATTGTCCCCTAAGAGACAAAGTAGCCCCTGAAAGATCAGCAGAACCACTTCTTTAGAGGATCAGAGTAGTTAACACGTTCTTTATTCAGGATTAGAAGATGAATATAAGGCTGCAAAATGTCGTCAGATATTAAAACTGCAATGCCAAGTTGGAGACTAGTCTCCCAGCAAGAAGAGCCTCTGCTTAAACCTGGCAGCTTAGATATATAGTTTGTACAAGGGCTAATTAAACATCTGTTGACAGATGGAATATAGAGACTAGAATTCGAGTATGGCAGGATAGGCCAGACCTTAATCCTGCTTGTACAGTGTATTTAGCATGGACTTTTAGAATGATCCAGAAATCAGAGCCAACTTTGGCCTTGAATCTCTTATTTCCCATAATAAAATCCAAGCCATTTGATGACACAACCTGGAACAGCCACTGACATCACATTAGAATCTAAATACTATGCGCAGAACTCGGGTCTCAACAAAGCAGATCTCAGCAAGGCTTATAGTCTGAAATCTCTTTGGTAGCTCCCACCCCAACGCACACTGAATGAATCGCACACATATCCATTCTGGCTAACCTGTTCTAACTAGGGACTGTCCCCCAACATGGCTCTTCAACCCTTTGTTCTGAGTGTATTTGCTCCCTTGCCGTGTGTCTATTTCCCTCTAGCCCTGATAGTTATTAGAACTATCTGTCATTTGGGCAATGTTTCAGAGGAGTACGTAAGGGTAGGGACATGGGAAGGGTGTACATATTGCTGATGGAGGGTTAAAGGTCAACATGACAGGAAGCTTTTTGCAAGTAGCACTTCGAAAGGCGCCAAGAGCCTCCTGCGCATGCCTCCCCTTCTTTGATGCACACCTGTCTCCTCACTGACTGGGACGGCCTCTGTCATGATCGGTCCAACCTCCACCGTACTGCCTCCAAATCCCTCACAGCCCTGGCAACGGCTGAGGGGAACGTGGCCCCCGTCCCCTCATGCCTAGTGGAACAAGGCCATAAACGATTCTGGGACTAAAGTGGCTGCAGAGCATGCCCCAGGGTCAGGACCTGGCCGGACCCGCAGCTGGCCTCGGTGCCGCCGCCGTCCCAGCCTGCGTCGGCCCCAGGCTGGCTGCGTCAGGCGGGAGACAAGGTTTTGTGTGCGAGGGACGACAGGGGAGCAAAGACTTACACTTTACCCTCAGGCTCATCCGGAGGCCTGGCAGGTGGCCTCCTCAAAGGTGGGAAGAGACTCCGGCCGGTGCCGGACACGCCGGCGTCCACCAGAGGGTGCTTCTAACCCAGGTTTCCCCCTGCGAGGGCCTAACATCCGGGACTTCCGCCACAGCGACCCAATAAACGGGGCCGTCGTTAGTCCCTGGGCGGCCGCCGTAGCTCCCGCCGCCACGGCGGGCGACGAAAACAGGAAGTGAGTGGTCCGGTTGGCTCGGAGTTCTGCTTTCGCCGCGGTCGCTGCTCCTGACGTCGGCTCACAGCGGTTTGCGGAGGTCGGGTGGGGAGCATGGCCGAGTACGCCTACGTGAAGCCCACCAAGCTGGTACTCAAGGGCGCGAAGGCCAAGGGGTGAGCCCGGGCTCCGGGGGGGGCTGGGGGACCATCGAGGGGAGTCGGGCTCCGCGGGGGGCCGGGACATGGGGGCGGGGGGATTGAGCCCCGGGCTCCGCGGGAGGGCCGGGGTCACGGGGGGAGTCGGGCTCCGAGGGGCCAGGGTCACGGGGGAGTCGGGCTCCGAGAGGGGCCGGGGACCTAGTGTTACTGAATACTCGGGTTACTGACACTTTGGGGACACTAGGAATATTGCTGCGGTGAACGTTCTTACTTAAGTGTCTGAGAATGAACTGCCGTTTCTCTTGGGAGTATGTACTTAGGAGTGGGATTACTGAGTTTAATGAAAACTCTGTGTTTGACCTTTTTTAGAAATTCTAAACTGTTCTAAAGAGGCTGGGCCTGTTCACTAGTTTTATTCACAGATACCTATCAACCCTTAATCATCTTTACAACAATTGCACCGTGTTATTACCCTTGTACGGTGTGTTATTACACACACGTGTGTGTGTGTGTGTGTGTGTGTGTGTGTGTGTGCGCGTGCGCGTGCGCGCACGCGCACACACTGGTCCTGGGACTTGAACTCAAGGGCATTGTGTCTGAGCATTTTGCTCAAGGTAATGGTCTACTACTTGAGCCCCAGCTCCATTTTCAGATTTTTGGTGGCTAATTGGAAATGAGAGTCTCATCAGACTTTCCTGCACAGACTGGCTTTGAACCTTGATCCTTAGATCTCGGCCTAGAATTACATGCAAAAGCTAGTGGCACCAGTATTATCCTAATTTTACAAACGACAAAATTGATTCACAGAAAGTTTTGTTTTGTTCAAAAATTCAAGGCCAGGCAGACACACTTAACACAGGGGACACAAAACCAGAACAACTTTTTAGAACTTTAAATCCTTGCAAATAATTTAAAAATCATTTACATGTATAGAGTAGTGAACAGCTCAAAGACTCTTGTAAGCTTCCATCTAGTGATATTTAATATACACGGCAATATATCTAATTGTACTACTTTTTCCCATAGTAAGAAGAAAAAGAGTAAAGAGAAGAAAAGAAAAAGAGAAGAAGATGAAGAAACTCAGCTTGATATTGTTGGTGAGTCCTCTCAGTTCTTTATTTAGAGAGAAATTAACATCTGTTTGAGATTATGTATAAAGTGTTTTCCTACTTTGACTTTTGTTTGTCTTAAAGTGCTTAGGTATCATTTATAGTTGCAGATTCCTTTTCTTTTTCAAGCATAGTAGATACCACTTCATTATCAGAACAGTGTGCTGGAAGAAGGAAGGCTGACTCAGATTCAGTGGGCACTATTAGACTCATTGGTAGTCAGATGCTAACTATATACCATACCTATAAATGAGCATTCTAAAACCAAATATTTTGCAAACTTTTTTGAAAGTGCATTCATTTAAATGTATGAGTCAGCAATTTGCCTTTAAGGGAAGTGTAATCACAATAAAAATAATTGTTTTGTAAAAACTGAAATGAATGGAAATTCCAGTTAAACAGAATTAGAGCATCAAGGTAGCTTCTTGCTTCTAAATGGTAGTAGAAACCATCTGTCTCATACGCACCAATTATTCATTTATTTTCCTTTCTGTATCTATATTTTAAAGTAAATGTCTTCAGTTTGAAAACATGATAAGCTAGATTTTGAAGTGGCATAAATTATAGCTACTTTAAACCTATGTAAAATAGAGATAGGTCACTTGAGCCTGTCATTCCAGCACCTGGAAGTTGAGACAGGATGTACTTGAATTGAAGGCCAGCCTGTGCTACATAACAAGTTCAAGCCCATTGAGCTACACAGTGAGACCTTGTTTCAAAAAAAGAAAAAGAGGGAATAGTATATTCGAGGAAATCAATGTTTTGTTTTGTTGTTGTTTTTGGGGGGTCCAGTCATGGGGCCTGAACTCTGGGCATGGGCACTGTCCCTCAGCTCTTCAGCTCAAGGCTAGCACTCTACCACTTGAGCCACAGCGCCACTTCCGGCTTTTTTCTTTTTGTTTATGTGGTGCTGAGGAATTGAACCCAGGGCCTCATGCATGCAAGGCAAGCGCTCTACCACTGAGCTACCTTCCCACTCCCTGTTGGTTTTTTTGTTGTTGTTGTTGTTTTTTGTTGTTTTTTTTTATGAGCTGAAGTTCTTATTTTTCTTAAAGTTTGATGGCTACTGCCTTATCTCTCTGTTCTAAATAATATTTCACTTATTTCAGTTCTTACAGAAATTCTACATTACTTTTTAGAGATGTCACTTTAAAATTTTTTATAGGCCAGGCACTGGTGCATCATACCTATACTTGCTCTGGAGACTGAGATCTGAGAACATAGTTTAAAGCCAGCCTGGACAGGAAACTCATGAGATTCTTATCTCCAAATAACCACCCAAAAGCCAGAAGTGAAGCTGTACTTCAATTGGTAGCCTTGAGCCTAAAAAGCGCAGACACATGCTTAGGTCCTGAGGTCCAGAACACACGTGCACGCACCCACATACCCACCCACACACACACACACACACACACACACTTATACGGATAATAGATCTTGAGCTTGTCATCCATTCAAATTAATTTTTGGCATACTGTGAAGTAGGTGTCAAGGTTTGGGTTTTGTTCCTTGAATATATTTTACTTCTCCATCCAGCTCTTTTGGAGGGCTGGGGATGTAACTCAGAGGAAGAATATGTACAAGGTCCTGAATTCATCCCCAGCACCATGTAAAAATTAAGTGAACAAAGAAATGAACAAGCTGCTTTGGTACCTCTGTTTAAAATCATCTGACCAACTTCGTATGATCTTGATTCATTCTGTCCCACTGAAATATTTTTCTGTTCCATTGATGTCCTTTATTACTATTTACTTCATAAAATTTTGAAGTCAGGTAGTATTAGTCCTCCAACTTCATATTTCTTTTGTGAAAATTAACTAAGTCTTTAATATTTCCAGGTAAATTTTAGGTTCACTTACCAGTTTCATAATAAAACCTATTAGATTTTCTGGGGAAATTATACTGAATCCAGATCATGTAGGGAGAATCAGTATTTTCAGGCATACTGCTGCTAATAATTTGTCCTTTTCCATATTGCACATTTTTTGTTTTGTTTTGTTCTTGCCAGTCTTGGGGCTCAAACTCAAGAGCTTGGGCACTGTTCCTGAGCTTCTTTTGCTCAAAGATAGCACTCTACCATTTGACCCACGGCACCACTTGCAGCTTTTTCTGTGTATGTGGTGCTAAGGAATCCAACTCAGGGCTTCATGCATGCAAGGCAAGCACTCTCCACCAAGCCACTTGCCTAGCCCCTCTTGCACATTTTTTTTAATTTCAATTTTATTGTCAAGGTGATGTACAGAGGGTTACAGTTACATAAATAAGGTAGTGAGTACATTTCTTGTTGAACTTATTACCCTCTCCCTCATTTTTCTCCCACTTTCCCTCCCCCTTGTACATATTTTTTAAATTCCTCAAGTATTGTATAATTTTATAATGCTGTGTGAACAGAATTTAAATTTATTTTCAGTTGTTTACTTTTGTTATTTATATAACTACTTTTTAATATATTGAACTGAAAGTTGAATATGTTAAGTTGATTTATTTCTACTAGTAATTTGTTTATTTATATAGCAAGTGAGAAATCTCCAGTAGTGTTTCCTGTAGGTTTCATTTTACTTCTTTCTAATACTTGTCTTTTGTTTCTTTTACTGTTTATTATACCCACCAAAGTGTTGAGCAGAAGTAGTGAGAATAGTCATAATTATGTTATTCCTAGTCTTGAGCAGAAAGTTTTCAGTAGTCCTCTATATAATAAGAATTTCGGGGGCTGGGAAGGTGGCTCAGTGGTAGAGCACTTGCCTTGCATGCCTGAGGCCCTGGGTTCAATTCCTCAGCACCACATAAGCAAAAAAAAAAAAGGGGGGGGAGGAAATAAAGCGCAAGTGGCACTGTGACTCATGTGGTAGAGCGCTAGCCTTGAGCTGAAGAGCTGAGGGACAGCGCCCAGGCCCAGAGTTCAGGCTCCACGACCGGACCCCCCTCCCTAACCCCCCCCACCCCACAAAAAAAAAGTACTTTTTTTTGGGGGGGGGTCCGGTCGTGAGGCCTGAACTCTGGGCCTGGGCGCTGTCCCTCAGCTCTTCAGCTCAAGGCTAGCACTCTACCACTTGAGCCACAGCGCCACTTCTGGCTTTTTCTTTTTGCTTATGTGGTGCTGAGGAATCGAACCCAGGGCCTCAGGCATGCAAGGCAAGTGCTCTACCACTGAGCCACCTTCCCAGCCCCGCTATGTAGTATTTTCATGGATATCTTTTTTCAAAATGAGAATGTTGCATCTTAACTTAGTATTGAAGGTGTTTAATTCTGTCAAATGCTTTTCTTTTTCTGCCTCTTGATTTGTTTGCATTGCTTTATTCAGAGATTCTACAAAGGATTTCCTTGGTTTCATTTTCAGCCCTTGACCTATTTTCATATTCTTAATTTAAACTGAATTTAGCTATGATGTATTATCCTTTGGCATATTGGATTTTTTATTTCCAATGTATTTTTAGGATTTCAGTATCTATGTTGATGACAGATGGGGGACTTGGATTTTATGTTCCTTACAGGCACATTTGGCTTTACTATCAAGGTAATGACTAGTTTCATAAAATGAACAGGAGCATAGTCTATCTCCCCCCACTCCGAACTTCTCTGTCTTTCTGCTATATATTGGTATTTAAGCTCAGGGCCTTGCTCTTGCTAGACAGGCACTGTACGATCAACCCATACCCCTAGCCCTTTTCCCTTTTTCTCACAATTTTGCCCAGGACTGATCTCAAATTGTAATCCTCTTATCTGTACCTCCCACATAGCTAGTACTACAAGTACGCAACATCACGCTAGGCTTGTTGATTGAGATAAAGATCTTACTAGCTTTTCGCATAGCCTGGCCTTAAGCTACAGTCTTCCTGATTTTCACCTCCCAAGTCACTAGGATTACAGATATACTTTAAGAGGTTACTTAGAAATGTTTGTTCTACTTCTTTTGTGTTCCAGGGTTTGAACACAGGATTTCAAGCTTGCTAGGCAACTAAATGCTGAACCAGTCTTAAGAGATTTTTTTGCTTGATAAGCTCTCATTAAAGATAGTGGATTTGGTTCATCTACTTTTTTAATTTTTCAGAAGGAATTTACCACTCTTGGATTAGCAAATCCTACAGACTGTAAATGATACTTCATAGAACCCCAAAGAATTACAATTTACAATTACAATTTCAATACTCTTCCTGTAGTGTACAGGAAGCTCTTCAGAAGTAGTTGTACCTAATTTAATATAAGATAAGTGTGGTTGAAGAAATGAGCCATTCAGGGCTGGGAAGGTGGCTCAGTGGTAGAGTGCTTGCCTTGCATGCATGAGGCCCTGGGTTCGATTCCTCAGCACCACATAAGCAGAAAAAGCTGGAAGTGGCACTGTGGCTCAAGTGGTAGAATGCCAGCCTTGAGCTGAAGAGCTGAAGGATAGCGCCCAGGCTCAGAATTCAGGCCCCATGACTGACCAAAAAAAAAAAAAAAAATGAGCTGTTCAAGCTCAGGCTCTTCGTAATAAGCTGTCTGTATCCTTCATTCTAATTCAAATGACATCAATATTGCAATTCGATAAAGGATCCATGGTTACTATGAAAAGGCATATCTTTTAATGGACAAAGAAGTCTGGTTTCTAAGTATGGTTCTTGTGATCTACTTCCTAATCAAATTAACATAAAAAGGCAAATTTCTGAATAGAATTAATTTTTCCAATCAGTATATCATCCTGCTAGTTGATATTTCTACCAATAGTATATAAGGGTTCCCTTATATACTCACCAGCATTGACTTTTGTTTTTGTCTTCTGCTGGTACTAAGGCTTGGGTGCTGTTCCTTAGCTGTTTTTCTCAAGGCTGACACTCTACCACTTGAGCCATGGTTTTACTTTCAGCTTTTTGGTAGTTAATTTGAGATAGAGTCTCATTTCAAACCACGATCCTCAGATCTCAGCCTCCTGAGTAGCTAAGATTTTAGGCATAAGCCACCAGTGCCTGGCTCATTTGACTTTTTGATATCTTTACCTTTTTTCTCAAGCTCTG